TTTGTATAAGCCACCCCCCCCAATTTTTGGACTGTGAAGTTTTGAAAAAAATATTTTATTAGAGAAACAAGTTATGAAGAAAGAAAATTTACAAAGAAACAAAATTCGACGTCTAGATCTACAACTTCGGTCATGACGCCGAAAGCGGTGCGGGCGACGCTAGCAATCTACGCATCGGAACGAGAGTAGGAACGAAGCATTCAGGCCGATGCCTAGCGTATGCATTTCTATCGCGTACTCGCACTCGTAATCGTATCGTCACTTACAATTTTTACAAAAAAGTATAGCATACTGCTGGAAAACCAGTTTATTCCTACTTTATTATTTTATGCATTTTTCACGTATAAAAAGTGTACCTGCTTTGTATATGCCACCCCCCTACTTTTTGGGCTTGAAAATTTTGGAAAAAAGGGGTGGCTTATACATGGGGAAATACAGTAACTGTAAAAGACAGATCAGAAATAAAAGTTAAAATAAGCAAAAAAATAGTAAGAGAACACCTGTCTGATCTTGATGAACACAAATCACCGGGGCCTGATGGATTACATCTCAGAGTTTTAAAGGAACTGACAGAGGTCATCTCAGAACCACTGCACCATATCTTTCAAAAATCCTGGAGCACTGGGGAACTACCAGAGGACTGGAAAAGGGCTTATGTGGTTCCCATCTTCAAAAAAGGGAAAAAAAACAGACCCAGAAAACTATACACCAATCAGCCTAACAGCAATACCGGGGAAGATACTGGAAAAGATAATAAAAAAACAGATCTGCCAACATCTAAAAACAAGTAAAGTAATAACTAGCAGTCAGCACGGGTTTGTTAAAAACAGATCATGCCAAACCAATCTTATTTCATACTTCAACACAGTGACTAAATTAGTAGACCAGCAAAATACTGTGGACATAATACAGTATATTTAGATTTCAGCAAGGCATTCGACAAAGTAGACCATAACCTACTTCTTAGTAAGCTAGAAAAAAGTGGAATAGATAGCACCACCACTAGATGGATTCGCAACTGGCTGACAAACCATACCCAATGATTAGTCCTTAATGGGTCTATGTCTACATGGAAGGAAGGAAGCAGAGGGGTACCACAAGGTTCCATCTTAGGTCCAGTACTCTTCAATATCTTCATAAACAACTTAGATGAAGGAATAGAAGGGGAACTTACCAAATTTGCAGATGATACTAAACTGGCAGGAATAGCTAACACCCTAGAAGATAGGCTCAAGATCCAGATGGATCTTGACAAACTTGAACACTGAGCCCTATCTAAAATGAAATTCAATGGAGAGAAAAGTAAAGTCCTACACTTAGGCAAGAAAAACCAAAAGTACACATATAGATTGGGTGAAACCAGGCTTAATAGCAGTAACTATGAGAGGGATCTTGGAGTCTTAATGGACAACCAGCTAAATATGAGCCAGAAGTGTGCAGTGGCAGCCAAAAAAGCCAATGCAATCCTAAATTGCATTAACAGAGGGATACAATCAAGATCAAGAGTGGTACTAATATCATTATATAAAGCCTTAGTAAGACCAAACCTAGAGTACTGCATCCAGTTTTGGTCACCACACTATAAAAAAAGATGTTGAAAATCTAGCAAAAGTGCAGAGAAGAGCAACCAGGATGATTGGGGACTGGAGACTAAAACTTATGAAGAACGGTTGCAGGAATTGGGCTTGGCTAGGCTAGTAAAGAGAAGGACCAGGACAGACATGATAGCAGTCTTCCAATATTTGAGAGGCTGCCACAGGGAGGAAGGGGTCAAGCTATTTTCGAAAGCACCCGAAGGCCAGCAAGCAATAATGGATGGAAACTGAACAAGGAGAGATTTCACCTGGAAATAAGGAGAAACATTCTGACAGTGAGAACGATCAACCAATGGAACAGCTTGCCTTCGGAAATTGTGGGAACGCCATCATTTGAGACTTTCAAGAAGAGATTGGACTACCATTTGTCAGAAATGGTGTAGGGTCTCCCGCTTGGGTGGGGGGTTGGACTAGATGACCTACAAGGTCCCTTCCAACTCTGATTATCTGTTATCTGAGATATCAATAATATTAACAATTACTGATGAAGCTTACCAGGGGAAAACATTTTAAGAGATTTAAAAAAAGAATTGGAGAAGCAGGAAGATGCTTTGGCAACGGAGATAGGGATCAGAGCAGATAGTCATAAAGTTAAGACAGCGGAAGAGAGAAGAGATGGGAGAAATATTTAGATTGAACAGCCAGGATGTAAACGTAGATGTAGATAGAGACAAAGATCCAAGAGAAGAATATGGGAGGCAAGTCAAAAAAAATGAGACTTAAAATATTGATGTGGTCAAGAGATGATGGATAGAAAAAGAGAGAGAGAGAGAGAGAAGATCCTTTTTTAAGAACACATTTTAACATAAACAGGTGTATTAACATTAGAATGATATAAACTGGATGAAAGCAAAGAATATCAATAGAATTATTTTGTATGTATTGTTACAGGTGCTAGAATAATATATTGAAACATTGAACAGGTCATATTTTTTGGAAATGTGGTAGTATTCATGGATGTGCTTCTTGTCTGGATTGCCTTAAAGACCTAACAACTCATGAGACTTCTTATTGTACCTTCCATCTATATACCCGATCATCTTCCACCTCACCAAAATCCATTCCCAATTATATTTACTGCTTCTCTTTATAGTTCACTTGCCTGACTAATACAAGCAACCAGAAGGGAGGCCCTTACTGCCATAGGGAGGAACTGCCCTACACTAACTTTTGCAGGCGATCTGGGATCATGGAAACTTTCCTGTTTCCACTATGTTGGGAGCTGCAGCTCTATAAAGGATAATAGTTGTAGCTCAGAGTTGAAATGAGGGATCCTGATGCTCTCTAAGCTTGGCTGTTTTCTTGCAGATGTTTCACTACCGAAACTAGGTAACATAACTCTGTGTGACAGCAAGACCCACTTCCTATGATAAATTATACAAAACCCTCTTGGCCACATGACACTCTAGAATGCAAAGAGAAAATATATGAAGGCTTGGAAGAATTAATGTCTCTGACTGCAAAAAATTTCAACGACTAGTGAAAGCCTGCCCAGGGTTAAGAGGAGTAATTTTTTTCAAGTCATATTAGCTTCTAAACTGGAGAGGGACTCACATGCCAGTTTTCTCTCTGAGAAGAGTTCCCACACTCATATCTAGTCCCAGCTGGGTAAGCTTCACCAGCCTGTCTCTCTGCTCCCGGAAAGGAATGGCATAAAGCTGTTATGATGTATAGTTGTAACTAATAAAAAATCACACAGTACACTTCACATGGGACCAAGCATAAAATAACCAACTCTTTCAAGCAGCATACAGTTAAGTTTCAGCAATGGCAATCAAATCTGCTTTAATCTTATAAGCTTATTTTCAGCTTACCCAGATCCCTTTTAAGGTGATGTCTGATTTAACAGTCTGTGCAGCAGAGGTCTTAGGGCAAGGATTAGAGTTGTCTGAGTTATTAGCTGGCATTTCTTCAGTACCAAGAGCATTATAGGGATAATTCCTACTGGTCAGCTGTATCAATTCCAACCCCCCACCCCTACTCCCAATTCTTACAGCTTTTCTTCGATGCACAAACTTATTTCACTAGCAAAGCTGATAAAGAGAATAAACAGGCTACCTGCCATAGATACAAGAGTTTTCTGGTACGCTGTTCCTTTTCTAGAGAGCCAAGTTGCCATTGTAATTTAATTAGTGGTACTATAAGACCTTGCCAAGCACATTAGAAAGCATCCACATGAATAAAGCTCTTTCCTAAGAAGGCCCACCTTAGAAGAATGGATGAGGGAAAGGGTTGGGGGAGATCAGTCTATGAAAGGCAAATAGAGGACATGCAGTGAAAGAAGTGAAAGCTCTTCAGTGTTTGCTGTCTCAAGCACAGCATGCAAGGGCACTCCTGTAAGAACCAATCTCTCCTCTCCTCAAGGCCCATGTGCAACAGCAGGCTGAACAGAAAAAAAAATGCTGCTCTGGATTCAAGAAAAAAGCAAGACAAGAGGAAAATATATTCCTTAGGGAGGATACTATTACACATATCAAATGATACCAGTGGCCCTGGCAGAGTTGACTCCTACATGTAACAACAGATTATTACAGTGCTCATATCACTGACAAGGGAGATATTTATCTCATATTGGTTATTGGTTAACAAACATGAGGTTATATTTAACAAGATCTATCCTCCATACTCTATAAAGGCTGGACAGTATAACTGTCCAATGCAACTGCATATGTCCCTTTTCAGATGAAGAACCACAGAGGACTGAATGGGGGAATCTGAAACGAGTTTACGTTGCACTTAAGTATGACTAGCCCTGTAGACATAGAGATAAACTAGTAAGAGATCAGAAGAAGAAAGTAATCCAGTAGATAATCAGCATATTTATCCCTGTTGGATTTCATTATGCTGGCTGAGGGCAGAGACATCATCATATGAACTATGGTGGCACAATGGTTAAATGTAGGACTGCAAGCTATGTCTGGCGACTGCCAAAAATTTGACAGTTCGAATTTCACTGGCTCAAAGCTGACTCAGCCTTCCATCCTTCCATGGTCGGTAAAATGAGATCCCAGATTGTTGGGGACAATATGGCGATTCTGTAAATTACTTAGAGAGGGCTGTAAAGCACTATGAAGTGGTATATAAGTGCTATTGCTATTCCTTAAGTTCTCCTGCAGACTTTTAAATAAGGGTTTTATTTTAACACAAAAAGGGAAAGGAAAGGAAAGGAAAGGAAAGGAAAGGAAAGGAAAGGAAAGGAAAGGAAAGGAAAGGAAAGGAAAGGAAAG